GGGCAGGAGCCGAGGCGCCGGGGGCCGCGGTCGCCGGCGCCGCCATCAGACACACGTGGCGGTGGGGCTGGTGGCGGGGGGGGGGGGGGGGGGGGGGGGGGGGGGGGACAGGGGGAGCAACAAAGGCAAATCCACCGCTCGCGCCCCCGGCCGGGCCCCTCGAGGCTGGGGGATTGTCACAGTTGGCGCGGTGCTGGCGCGCGGAGTGCGTCCGCTCACCCGGGCCCCTGCCGCGTTTTGAAGGGCGTGCTCACCAACGAAGGGCCCCCGTGCATCCTCTCGCCGACGCGCGCGGGGGGGGGGGGGCGAGGCTCCTCCTGGGCAGTCGCTGCCCAGTGGCCATGGTGGCACACCCAAGCGGGCGCCCCTCGTCATATGGTCGGCCTGCGCGTGCCGGTCATGACCGTCGCGGTCTTGTGGGCGTTTGTCTATGGCGCTCGGGCCTTCGTGCGCCCGCTGTCCCTCGCCCTGTGAGCCGTTTCGAACGGGCCCCGTCCGGGGCCGGATCGGCCACGCCGGCGGCCCGCCCGCCCTCCCCCCCCCGGGAGCAGCCAGGGGACGGTCCACCGCGGCGGGGCCAGCGCCAGGTGCGCGCGGGCGCGCGCGCGCCCCGAGCTTGGTCGCCCAGTTGCCTCCCCGGGCCGCGGAATAGTTCCGCACCTCCTTTGGCCACTGGAGCCGTCGCCGCCGCCGCCGCCGCCGTCGCCCGGGTGCCCCGCCTGTGGCCATGATCTTTCCCCCCCTCTCTCTCTCTCTCTCTCTCCCGCCCCGGCCCGGGGGCGTCGCACCTCGGCTCATCTTTTGCCAGGGAGCGGGCCCCCTGCTCGGGAAATGATGCAGGCGGGTGTTGCGGGTTTTATTCGAGTGTCGGCCAGGCGCCGAGCCGCGGGCATGCCGCCTCGGCCCTCCCCTCCGGGGGCACTTCGCCTCGGGGCCGGCGGGGCGGGTGTCGGCTGACCGGCTGCCCCCCCCCCCCTCTCACCCCACGGCGACGTGGCCTCCGTCCGGACGCGCGCCCAAGAAGGGCGGGGGGGGCCGAAGGATGCGCGGCTTTTTTCCCCCTTTCGTGTGGCGCCCAGCTCCGGGGATGCGCGCGGTGCCGCGCGCATATATCGCTCCGTGCGGTCGCCCACCCCACAAAGCAAAGCCCGAAAGGGCTATCTCCCCACATGTTAACCATTGTTCCGTCCCGGCTGCATCCGCTGGGGCAGGGGCGGCCGGGGGGAGGGGGGGGGGGGCGGACATAATGGCTCGGCCCCAAAAGGGTGCCCGCTGCTCGGGCCGCAGACATGCGGGCCCGACACTCGCGTCCCCATGCCCGGGGGGGGCCGGGGGGGGGGGGGGGCTCAGAGATTCTTCCGGCCTGCCCGTCCCAGCGACACTCGGGCGGCGGCCCACGAGCCCGGGGCCGCCCGCGGACGGCATCTCCCCCGGCCGAGCGGCCTCAGCGCTGTGCGCGCGCACGCGCATGTGTCCCTTCGGGTGACGCCGCGTGTGTGTGTGTGCGTTTGAATGGGGCCGGTGGGGGGGGCGCGCGCCCATTGTTCTCCTCGGGTGCCCCTCGGGCGGGCGCACAGGGCGACGGCACCGGGGCCAGGCGTGGCGCGCGGCCGGGAGCCCATCCTCGGTCTGGGAGCCGGCGGTTGCCAAGTCGGCGGCGGTGTTCGTCCGTTTGAGTCAGGGATGTCCGGGGGCGGGGGCGGGGGAGGGGCCGCGGGCCTCTCTCTGTCTCTCGCGTTGGCCGCCGGGAAAAAGCCCGGTGAAACAGCCGCGTCAGCGCTCGGGCGCGGCCGGGGGTGAGGCGCGTTGAACGGGGTCCTCCGGGGCCGGCCCGCGAGGTGGACCCGCCCCCCCCCCTCCCTCCTTGAGCTTGCGCCATCCGCCGCTCCGGCCGAGTGGGCTGCGCGCCGGCGTCAACCGACAGCGAGGTAGCGCGATGTGCGCGCGAGGCGCCGGCCCCGGCGCGGGGGGAGGCCGGCCTCGCGCCCCCTCGCGCCCCCTCCCGCCACCCACGGCCACCCATCTTGATGCGACGAGGGAACGCACACATGGCCCCCGGCGGGCCTCGGGCATTCCGGCCGCCAGAGAAGGCACAAGGGCGCGCCCCCGGCGGGGGCCGGGCTTGGCCCGATGTCAGGCAGGGTGGACCTTCCCCCCGCCCCCCCCGGGTGCTCTTCCCAAAGCCACCGGGCCTGGGCGCGGATGGCCCGGTGATATCACCGGCAGTGGGCCGCACGCGCCCGGGCCCGGAGCCGGGCTTTTTGGTCCTGCCTCTGGCGGCTGGCCGGGGCGGCCGCCCCGCCGGGGCGTATGACCTCGCTGGGCGGTGCGCCCCGGGTACGCCGATCCTGGCCCGCCGGCGCCCGGTGCCGAGGGACCTGCCAGCCGGCAGGTCACACGGGGAGACACCCCGGCAGCGGCGGCGGCGGCGGCGGCAATGTGCAGGGGTGTGTTTGTTGTGTGTGGACCTTCGGGAGCGCGTGCGCACACGGGCCCGGCCGTGCGGCTGTCTCCACCGGTTCGGGCAGCCCAGGCCGGCCGCGGGTTCGGGTCACGCATCCTCTCGGCCCCCTACGGCGGCCATGTTCGCCGCGCCCCGCACGCCCGGCCGCGCTGATGAGCTCGATTGTCAGGGCCCGATCCTCTGGCCCGGGGTGCGGCAGGGCGTCGCAAGGGAGACCGCCGTGGCGGCCCCAAATCCGCCCGGCCGGCCCGACGCCCATTCGCCGGGCGCGCAATACGCCGCCGCCGCCGCCGCCCGGGGTGTGGCCGCGCAGGGCGCCGGTCCTCGCGCTTCTCTCCAAGGCCCGATGGCGGCACGGCGCCCGGGCGGTCGGGGCCCCTTCCGCCGGTCCCCGCCCGCGCCGTGCCGGCCCTCCCCCCGCCACATGGACGCCATTGGGAGGCGCGCGCGCGCGCGGTCATCCAATGTCAAGCACGCCCGCCCGATCGGCATCCATTCCCCCACTGTTTGGACGCCGCCGGGCTCCCTTCTGGGAAGGGTCAACCGCGGCTGCATGCATGCGCGCGCGCCGCCGGGAGCGGGAGCCCATCGGCCCTGTCCGTCCTGTAGTCCCCCCCCCCTCGCCCCCCTGCGGCCTTCGGCGACGCGCATAGTCGCAGGCCCGGACACGGGCGCCCGATCCGCCGGACACCCCCCGCCCTGTCCCGCACCCCAGGCATGGCGCCCCCCGTGTTTTGTCCTTTCACAGGTACGGCCGGATGTCTTCTCGCCGCGCACGCACGCGCGTGAGGGCGCTCATGCACCCTCGCGCACACACGCATGCGTGCTCCCGCCCCCCCTCCTGCACCCATGGCGAAGAAGCCCTCAGAGTTTGCTTGTTGCGCCGAGCGCCCCCTTGCCCGGGACC